CCACTGGACGCATCTGCCGCAGACGCTCCCTTCCCATTGCACACACACACACACACACACACACACACACACACTCCCCCCCACACACACACTCGGCGCTCACCACGTGCCGTGTGCTACCTGACGCCACCGTGACATAACGCGTGCGTGTCATCGCCACCGCGAGTCCTTTTCACGGATATCGAATATGCAAAGTCGCGATAATTGCGTCCAATATAAAATGGGCACTATGCGGTCACGACCCCCCCCCCCCCTAGTAACCCTCTTTCAGGATGCACTGCCGCAACATGACCCTACCCCAGCCCCCATGTGTGTACGTAGTCGCTTATTGAGTCATGGAGTTGAATAAAAACCTCTCTTGCCTGCTTGCGGCGTTCGCATCGCATAGAGGAGGACCCCGCCGCGCCTCCTCCAGCCTATTCGGGTGAGTGTGTGCAATAGCGAATAGCGGTCAGCAGATGAGCGGTGCGGCGCGGGCTGTGCGGTGGGAGTGGGCCAAGAAAGCGGCCGAGTCCAGCAGCCGACATCATCGCATCATCGGCGCTGTTGCATGGCATAATCCACCCGGGGGTAGAGTAGACCAAGAAAAACTTTTTGTTAAAATGTTAAAGTTCACATTGCCCATCTCGTGCCAATCCATAAAAAACGATCTCAAAAAAATTTTCAGCCAGATCGGACAATATTTGACCCTCCCGAAGTGGGTTAAAAGTTAACATTAGTTTCTTATGGGTCATCGGGTCAAAACGTTACACATTTGGCCTGTGGCTCAAACTATCAATCGTAGAAAAACGCCGTTATCAGAAACGTGATCTATGCTAAAAACCGAGTCAGACGACATGCCGCTTGTCAAAATCCGTCATCGCGTTCCGTAAAAAAAAATTTGTTTTTTCGTTAAAATGTGTTATTTTTAGTTGTTTTCTCAAATTTTAAAATCTAAACAAGATGAGGGATTTTGACAAGCGGCATGTCGTCTAACTCGGTTTTTAGCGTAGATCACGTTTTTGATAACGGCGTTTTTCTACGATTGATAGTTTGAGCCACAGGCCAAATGTGTAACGTTTTGGCCCGATGACCCATAAGAAACTAATGTTAACTTTGAACCCACTTCGGGAGGGTCAAATATTGTCCGATCTGGATGAAATTTTTTTTGAGAGCGTTTTTTATGGATTGGCACGAGATGGGCAATGTGAACTTTAACATTTTAACAAAAAGTTTTTCTTGGTCTACTCTAACCCGGGGGGAGGGGCAAACACAGTGCTGTGTGGGTGCCGCTGGAGCTGCACGATAAAGAGTCGCCGAGAAGTGCAGAGAGCACACGGGGGCCTCCGGGGCCTCTCCAGCTACGGGCTAAACACGATAGCGCGCACCGTGCAAGACGTCGTCGCCGCCGCAAAAGGAGACGTTTTTTTACGAGGAGCGTATAACTAAAAGGGGCTGCGTCGTCGTCATGGGAGACGCGCGGCTTTATGCGTGCGGTCGGTCAGGGTGGACCGTGCACTCGGCGACCTCCTCCGCCCCCCACAGGGGAGAGAGAAAGTACCAACTAATCAGAGGGGACAAAAAGTGCGGCGTGCGCGTGCGGTGCGTGGCGCGGCGGGGAGGGCTCATTGGGGGCCCAAAGGGTCGCGGGTCAGGTCGAGCCGGGCCGGGCCGTGCGGTCTCTGCTGTCGTCGCGGTCGTCCCGCCCCGCGCGCGGCGCTTTGAATAATCGTCCGCTTTGCCGCGTGCGTGCGGCCGCCTGCTGGGCGGCATAGGGATGCCGGCGGGAGGCCGCGCTGCGCTGAAGCTGCCCCCTGCCCCCAACACGCGCCGCTCACGAGGTGCATCTCCTCCCCCTGCTCTGCTGGGAGGTAACCTGCGACAAATCATTGGGCATAGAGGGGCGGCGCGGCGGCGGCGAAGCCCCTGGGAGGTAGGCCGCCCCGTTGTGCCGCGGTGCGCGCCCGCCTGCATGTTGCCTACGCTGCAGGCGCTCCGGGCTGGGCCTGCTGCTGGAAGAGCAGCCTTCCTCGACGGCGCCCCCGGGAGGTAGGCCGCCCCGTTGAACCGCGGTGTACGCCCGCCTCCATGTTGCCTATGCTGCAGGCGCTCCGTGACGTCGCCGTGCGGGCAGTGAGCGGTGGCGGAGAAGACTCGGGTCTCTCTGCCGCCGATGGAAATTCCTCCTCCTCCTCCACCTCCTCCTCAGTGGGACCCAGACCCAGTAGGTGTGCCCCTCCTCCCCACACCGCACCGCGCCGGAAGCCTTTGACCTCAAACACAAGAACAGAGCGACGGGGGGCGGGGCGGGGCTACGCACGAATCGCGACAAAGCGGGGCGCCAACGCCGCCGCTATAGTCGGGCCACTCGGCGCGTCAACACTGCCGCAGACGAGAGAGTGACGGAGAGGAAAAGTGCCACTCGGCCCGCGCGGGTCGATCGCGATTGATTCCGAGCCTTCTTCCCACGCGTGGCGCGGCGGCGACGAGGTGACTAGGGCGCACTCCGGCGCACTCCAGGACCCCGCTGCAGCTCAACACGCTTGTGCTCGTCCCCACCAGCGGCCTCGGACCCGACCGAACGAGTAAAATCACAATCGTTTTACGTGGACGCCGTCATCAACACGACGCGGCACCGCGACACGTCGCGCGGCGCGCACGAAAGTCTCCGCGGAACACAATAAATCCCTCCTCTCCTCGTCCTATGCGGCGCGGTGAAACACACCAACACTGCTGCCGCGGGCACGCGCCCCGCGCACGCACCTTGCACGCCGTGCACGCGCCACCCGCCCGCGCCCGCCGGAACACGGCAACTACTGCCCAGGCCAGGCCTGCCCAGCCCAGCCGTTGTTGTTGTCGGTCACTTTACTTTCCTGCGCCACAGATATTGTCTGTCCCCTCGGGCCCGGACGGGCGCTGGCTGGTCATCCTTGATTCAATATCTCTCTGCTCGGCTTCACGCTCTCACCCCGCGCCGCGCGCGCACCCCATTGATCGCGGGGACGATCTCGGCCGATTTTATATCGCTCATCGGGATGACACAATGAGTGGCCGGCCGGGGCGACCCTCCCCGCCGCCTCCGCCGGTCATACTTTTGTGTGTCGCTGTTTGGGCTGTCTGCGCGCGCGCGACCACCGCTTTAGAAGTGAAAGTGATTCTTTTTAACGCGGCGCTATGTTTTTTAACTAGGGATAAAAAAATCATGATAGTGTGTATACGCTATGGTGCTAGCGCGCATTGCGTATTAATGAGCCCGAACATTTCTTTCTGTGCAAACACTTCCTAGTAGATACTTTTTCTATCGGCCTTTCACGCTGTCGTGGCGCTCCAGACGCGGCAGTGTTCTTCTTGTAGTGTGTGACATATGCACCGACGGCAGGGCGAAGTGTCATGGGCGCGCAGAGAGGAGCACGCAGAGGTGCGGGAAACGGGAGAAAGTCGCAGGGGGGAGGACCTCTCGCTCGCTTTGATGATTGTTTCTGTTTGTGTTTCCGTTAGCGGTGTTCTGCGAACAGGTGTGCCGGCCGGCGGTGGCGGTGGTGGCCCTCGATGCAGTAATGCCCCTCGTTGCAGCATATTTAACTGCGCGGAACCGTTCTCGTTTTCTGTGCTCCCCGGGCCGGGCGGGCAGCGGCGTAGGAGCGGAAACGCGGAGTCATCCGCGCACCTCCCTCAAGCCAAGGTGGGCTGCCGCGAGCCCCGAAAGAGGGTGCACTAAGCTCGCTAGTTCGCCTATGCACGCTACCCCCGTCACGAATAGGTCAAAACGGGTTCATGTCGACGTCAAAACTTCACGTTTCTTTAGCCTTATTTTTGACAAAATTTTGACCTGTTGTAGTCGTGAACGCGTTGGTATGACGTCTTCGTGACAAAATCTCCAAGTTTAAAGGCCAATCCCTGCGGCACGGCGGCGCTTTATGCAACAAAACTGGCGCACGCAAAGCCATTATAATTCGGGCCTCATCGACACACGTTGCTGCAGCGGGGCGGGGCGGGGCGGGGCCTGCCAGCTCAGCTCACTCGTGTTGCCCGCCGTGCAAACAGTCGAGGACATAACCGGGAGAAGAAACCGAGACTTCCGCCGCGCTCCGCACTGCTCCGGCACCGAGCGCGCACCGCGGCCTGCTGCATGGCGTGCACCACGCGCGCCGCACGCTCGCACGCGCGTGCCGAGGGCCCGACGAGCCGCGCGCAGGGCACGACAAAACGCAGACGGACGAAATCCACGAACTTTTCGCTCGCGGTGTGACGTGATGTGCGCCAGTCTGGCGGCGGTACCGCCAAGAAAATCGTTTCCTTGGAGAAAATCATAACGAAACGATTCCCTTGTTCTTAAAAAACAAAAAAAAAACGTAATTCATTTAACAACAAAAATTCCGTGAGTTAATTTTTTTTAATGAGGGATTTTTTTCCTTAAATCAAGGATTTTTTTCGTTATGTTTATGTAAGGTCAATTTCCTTGATTCAAGGCTAATTTTAATGGCATTCCCTTGTTTCAATAGAACGATTTTCTGGGTGTAGCACAATAGAGTGCGTCATGATTGAGGTCATTAATAATTATTCCGACACTGCGGTCCTCTCGCCCGCTCAGGTGGGCGCTGTGCGGTGCGCTTTGGCAGGTCCCTCCGCGTGCGGCACATAGCGCCCGGCGGCCGGCAGGGACCGGCTATCCGTGACGCAATTCGCGTAACCGCCGTGCGCACACATACACGCCGTCGCCGCCCGACCCACCGACCGTCCCGCGTGGCCGAAAGGACCGGCCCGGCCCGCGGACCGGTTGTGGCGGCCTGCCATATGCCCTGCCCCGCCCTCCTGAGGCACACCACCTTTAGCCTCCTTTTACCATCCCCTGGCCTGTTTATTTCGACATGGGCCTCCTCTCTGTCACTCGATTTCGAACTTTCGGATTCGCAGAAAATGTAGAACGCTGAGCGTTAACGCGGGGTTTGTATTATTGCATTTAAATGTTGCGCCTGCATTTATGTGCCGCTGCCGGCCGTGTGCAGCGAAGGGGGCGTAGCGTCGGACGGATTGCAATGCATTCTGAGTACGCAATTAGGCCGCTCCTGGTGAGAGGCGTCGTCCGCTGCCGGCTGAGCTCGTAGCATTAGTATAGTATGGTTTAAAAGAATAAAGCGCCAGGGAAATTAGAGATGGGGAAAGGGGGGGGGGCGCTTTAGGGGTTATAGCGGCGGTACCAAGTATTTCACTAACACCACCGGCCTGGAGCTAAAACGATGCATGACCGATTAATGTGCCACTTTCCTTTTTATTTTGACAAAACTGGCAGCCCACCAGGTACACCCCAGGTGACTGGCTTGCGCACACCTCTTTTGCATGTATTTATGTTAGGCTTGTATCTATCAAAGCTAGGTTGTTAGGTTCTGTAGAGTGGAATGAAAATTGGATACGATTTGATTAACTCATGATTCAATCTCCCTCGCTGTGAGAGGACGTAATACTGATCTGCGTGTCTCTGTTGCAGGTGACGCGGTGCCTGACGTGCCTGGCGCTGCTCCTGAGCGTGACAAGCACGTCGGCAGAGCCGCAGCTGTTCGGGCTGCTGAGAGACAAGCTGCCCCCCGTCTTACCGACGAGATCGACCTCGACGACAGCCGCGCCGGAGATCTCGTCGACAACACCCTCAACGACGACGACGTCATCCCCGGCAGGAGACTCGAACCCCGCCGCCAACGTGCAACACCTCCAGGCGCTGCAGGCCCTCCACGACATCCAGAGCATCCACGCCCTCCAGAACCTCCAAGCTCTACAGAATATACAGAACCTCCAGAACCTGCAGACGGCCGTGGAGAGGGCCAAGAGATCCGGGAACATCCTTCAGCTGCTCGGTGGTGCCAGCGGCAGCAGCAGCGGCAGCAGCAGCGGCGGCGGCGGCCCCACTGCGGACGCCCCGTACCCAGCGTCCTTAGGCAGTGCGGCGCCCGCGTATGGCGCCCCCGCCCCTGCCCCCGCCCCCGCTGCCCTCGGTGGCGGAGGAGGCCTTCTTGGAGGAAGGGGCATCCTGAGCGCGATCCTGGGCAGCTCGAGCAGCAACTCGGCCACCGCCGGGGTGGCCGTCGACGGCAAGGGCCCCACCTACGGTAACTACATCGGCATGGGAGCAGGGCTCCCCATGGTAAGTCGACGACCAAAAGATCTTGAACCCAGCCCAGCCATGGAAAGACGAGCACTTTCCAGTTGACAACCTCCCTCATGCCCTTTGCCCGCAGGTGTACGGCCAGAGGAGCTTCGACTTCCAGTCCTTCAGGCAGTCGCTCCTGGGAGTCCTTATGCAGGCCGTCAGGGCTATAACTGGTGGGGTCATCGCCCTCAAGGGGCAACTGGTGCGGGTCAAAGGTCAGCTTTTGTCGGCTAAGGGTAACATCATATCTGCATCGGGAGAGGCGCTTAGCCAGTTTGGCCGAAACATCGCTTCCAACGCTCTTCGCCCAAAGCCGCCAGAACCTCCAGGTCAGAGTTAAACGAATTGAAAGGCACGAAACCTTCGACCTTGTGACACATCTATTCAAACTACCGTTCCGCACAATCCACAACAATGATCACTGTGCCTAAACAATTTAATTTTTAATAACGTACGTCATTATGAAAGACTATCATTTATT